TTTTTTTTTCAGTTTCAGGATGAGGGCGTGAGTGATGATGAAGGAACAGTTCACAAGCATACTTGTACCCAAACACTGAGTATTGTGGCAGTATAAAGTCAACTCCTTGAAAGACAGAAGAATAAAGATTAGTAAATATTATATGATCGAACAGTTTTTTTAACGAAATGCAAATATGACAATAAATTCCTTTTTCTCAAGTCATCAATGAAAGATCTTGAGAGTGAATAAAACCACATAAAATTCTTCTGAGCATAATATACTACATTAATATGGCTGTTCTGTTTGTACATCTCGATACCCGTACCTTTGGAAGAGCAAAATATACTGAACAAGGAGCTAAAGGGATCGAAAGGAACTAATGGAACTAAAAGGACTAAAAGAACCTAAAGGGATTGAAGAGACTTTACTCTTCTCTCAGATCTAAAATATATATTTGCCTAAAATTCGAACGGAATAAATTTAATTTTTCGTGGATCTATGAGAATATTCACAAATGATATAGTTACAATACGATATGACTACTTCTTACACAACACACTCTATAAATCAAATGATCTTGTACAACAGTGAAGTGAATCGGATATAGAATATAACAAATGACACGTTCTAGTTCATTGAGTATCATTGGGAATTATCATAGAAAACTATTTTCTTTTTCTGTTTTCGATGCCTTCTCGGAGAAGATGTTATGATGATGTACTCAATAACGAATGTTCATCTGTTTCTCATCTATAGTTGATAGAAATAAAACTAACTTCTATTGTTGAAAATAAATATCAAAGTATTTGTCTCAAACAGAGGTGAATGCGTCCTGACTTAAGTAGCAAAGGATGCAATTTATAAAATTCTACACAATGATGTTGGTACATCTGCGATAGGTGTCGGTTACAATAAAAACTAATCAAAAACATCTGAAATGAATATTATTCGAATTTTTGGTTTTGTTTAACTTGTCGACCAGCATCGATAAATGATGAAAACTAAATCTTTCTAGACATCAACCTGTCTTCATTTTAGTGATTTAGTCAGAAGAAAATGAATATAATTATGCTCGTACAACGCATACTTATAGTCATATTCAACTAGGCACGAATGGTACAGTTATCAAATTTCAATAACCTTTTATATTGGTCGCTACTACCAGCACCTCTTCGATATTACCAGTACTTATTACTTGACTCACGAGGGCAGATCCTGAAGTGGTCCATTGCTTTTATGTCGGGACTATGTACATTAGGTAGGTTCTAAGGAGCTATCAATATTCTGGAACGAGTTCAGACTGATAGATTATTGCTACCGAGGTAGTGCATTTTTACAGTATATTTAAGTACAATGCTGTGATCTCCCTCAGAAGCATCAGAAAAAACAGAGTTTGGAATATCGATTTGAAATTTTGCATAGTGACAGATCTCAACAAGAATAGTTTATTGTGAAAGTTTCAGACCTTCTGATTGGTTTTATCGTAAGATACAGTTATCGTAAAGACATACTTGTACATCACTCATAAAGAAACAGATTCTGAGTTTCTTATTTCAGAATAGGAACAATCAAAACATCTGAAACTTTCATTAAATATACCGTAAAAATGCACTATCTCGGCAGTCATAAACCATCAGCTTGAACTCTTTTCAGGTTATTGATAGCTTATTAGAACCTACATAATGCACAAGTCTCGACTTAAAAGCAATAGACCAGTTGGGGACCTTCCCTCGACAGCAAGAAGTAGTTGAAAAAAAAACATATACACATTGTTCTATTATTTACATCGGCATAGTATGACTGGATAAAAGTAAAAAGTAAACATTGCCAGTTTATGTATGTTTTTTATTACAAATCATAAAAAATAACTCATATAATATTAATCACAAATGCAGATCTATGTCTTTGAAGTTAGATTATATTTACGGAGAAGAAAGTCACAATGATAAGCCATCGATAGATTGAATTAGATAACTTTATCAATGGGTTTCCAATTTAAATAAAACTTGCATTCCAGATACCAGCTCTCTACATTGCTTCATCATGTCCTGGTCATAGTGGCATTGTAATTGCTACTGTTACGAGTGGTTTGTGTCATATTGTACGAAATTGAAGTTATGTACCGACCGATATGGTAATACATACATTAGCATCAACTGTTACAATTTCTTCTCTTTCTTTTTGTTTCCATCTACATTCACTTTGACTACATAGAAAATCCATATTTCATAAATAGTTCGATGTTCAACAGCATTCGATGTCATACTAGGAGGAAGATCAAATTATGCCATACTACTACCAACTGTTATTAATAAATTACGAACTAATGAACCAGTATGTGCAACAATATCAAAGTTTATAGGTAAACGCATAGTTTGAAATGAAGGAACAGATAATATTTGATTTATAGGTGTAGACGTTTCTATTGTGAATAGTTTAGATGATGATTCTGTTGTAAAAGTGATTGTAGATGAATCTAGAAAGAAGAATGAATAAAGAGTAAATATTATTCCAAGCACAGGAAGAAATATTTACCAAGTTTTTCCAATAGGTGTGAGTGTGGATGGATGTCGCTGAAGAGAAGAGCACACGCACACACTCCATCCACGCCCACACCTACACCAACATCCTTCGATTTCATCTCAGATGTTCTTCACACTTATCGACTTTTCTTCGTTACTTGGATTCCGTTGTTCTATAGCAGCTTGGTCATATGTCTTTTCCAACTTTCATGAGTAATTGTCGAACACTTATGCATATATTTGCTTCGTTAAGTTATCACTTTTTTCATAGTTATGATTAACAGTATTACCATCATCGAAATGTCCTCGATATAAGTAGTTGAATATGAATGTTGGAAACGGTGGCAAGAACATGGAATCTAGTATGTACACTTTTAAGTTTATAGCATAAGAGTAAGTCATGAGATAATTTACAGAAGTTTGGATTCTGTAATGTGTTGTTCCTGTCGCTGTGAGTGACACAAAAAAATGATCAAACTAGGATGTGAGCTTTTACAGCACCTTCACTGAACGCATCAACTAAATAGGTTGTTATTTTAACGAAAACTTACCTCTGCCAACGAAATAGTGCATACATATTCAGTTAGCAACATTGGTAATACTACTAAGAGCATTCTGATATTGCACCGAAATCAACTCCATCACTTTTTCACGCTTGAATTTGTTCCTCCTGTTGTTACTACAGCAGTGACTGTTGAGAAAGCGACACCGAGAAAAAAATCCGAATGTAATTTTTTGATGGAATATCTTGTATAAAGCATTGATTGTCCTCGACTAGAGAACGTTCTAGATGAGAATGTAAGCGATGATTTGTCGTCAATGACACAGTGAGATAATTACTAATGAGAAAGCCAAGATAAATGTCACCGAAATCAAATGCACAAATACACCTATTAACAAAGTGTGAAGCACTACGTGTGCGAGGTTCTAGGAAATCAACAGTATGTTTTGATCGACAAACGCCAGCACCGAATATCGCAAACCAAAAATGATATGGATAAGTATCTTTCCTTGTTTTGGGTATACTATTCTATGAATTACGCCCAATATTATATGGACGATGAGAATCATCGTTGAAATGATGAGAGCAATCGTAATGCGATGCATAACGATGATAGAGAACAAATGTCATGAACCCTTTGACAACATAGAGATCGTACTGAATGTGAACTAGGGCTACATGTTATTTTCGTACGCCACATTTCAAGTTCATTGATGAGACGAGTTAAGTAGAATTTTCAAACTGTTCGAACAGTACACATAATATGAATAGTAGGCTGTGATGATGATCTTGAATGTACTGTTAAACAGGCATAATAGTAGTAATAGACAAGAGTGTAAGTAAAAAAAGCATAACAAGAGAAGTTCAAAATGAATGGTGACTGAAGAGTCGCATTTCTTGATAATAACGACGGGTCCTATCATCGCATTTACAGTATGGACACTGATGAACTTTATTATTGATTACTAAAATATAGATAATTATCTTCGATCATAACTTGAAATAAGATAGATTTCTCTTATTCTGTAGTTCTCTATCTTACCTATGTCGACATTTTTACTGCAGTACCAAGCGCACATCTCTGTGTCTAGTACTCTGAACGGTTTTCTTTTACTGTATTAGGAAAACCTACAACTTATCGAATGATTTTAGTAACCGTAATTGATCAAAGAAAGTAACAATTTCGGATTTCGACAGTTCTATTGATTGAGATGAAATGGCGGCAAGCGTGGAAGATCGAGACATTGAGCTCTCGTTACTTTCGAGAACGATAGCTTTGATAATAGTTTCAGTTAGAGATCAAAATAGATACGATTTTTCTTTTACAACCATGCCACATTTTCTGTTGTTGATATGAGCCATATGAAAATAAGAAAGTGTAATGGCACTACCTACTAGAGAGATATAGAACAGAGTGAGAGGATATATCAGTTAAACCATTTTAAAAAAAGCAACCAACGTCATTAGTATATTTTCGCACTGACAAATCTCCGAACAACGGAACACTGTAATCAGTGTATGTCAGTAGAACAATTCCATAAAGACTCAATTTTTAATCAATTATTCTAGTACAAGATATTCATATGTCGAGATAAACCACAAAAGAAAATCAAAGTTATATTAATATGACACACATATTAAAGTAAAAGTTGATTTTAATTTGATTATGATTGTTTATCACTGAAGTAAGAATCGTTACCAATAAAAACTCAGTTATCAAACGTATTACTTAAATCATTCTATAAATATAACTTATATCTATTGTTTGAACAACTAGTAAATATGTTTGAATGACAAATTCTCATTTGATGAAAATTCTATTTTCAAAACTAACATAGTCAATTAACTCTCATCATCGTTAAAAGCTCGAGAATATATCTTAACATTTAAGCAAAATAAAAATTAAACTCATATTTCTTAAGCGAGCAGTACAAGACGTCACCGCTTTGGAAAGGATTCAAACACTTGTTAAGACACAGTATTCACCCTGAAGTGTGAGAGTGAGGTTTGTCCCCTCAGCCACAGTTACATCCAAACCGATACCCACGATTTTTAAAAAGAAATATTGATTTTTTTTTCGATACTTAGTCAAGTTAGTCTCTTAAGCAAACATGCGTTAAGTATGCACAGATGCAAACAATTCGATCGCGTTTGATCACCATCATTTCTTTCTCGTCGTCATTTTTCAGCTTTACAACAAGTTTGAGTCAGTATCTTCATCTTTCTCTCTATAGATTTTTAATGCAATCATTTATACTAACGTGTGAATATTGATTGAAATTGTTACAACGAATCAGTGGTTTTTGTCACAGGAAACTCTTGCTTATTCAAGAAAATTATTTTTTTTTAATACGAAGTTTCGATTCGTTTACGTAATCAATATATTATATAACATGTGCATGTGAATGAAAACATACACTCATATTATAGAAGTAATACCACTTTATCTTCCCTTGCCCATATAAGATAAAGTGATTCGTAACTCGTATACTTTCTTCTTTGTATTTGTCTAGCTGTTAAAAAAAAATTAAAATATCGACGTGCAATGACATCAAATGATATTCGGTTGTATCGTGTACGTGGTACCCATTATAAATGTGCCCGAGACATTGGTATTGCATGTCGAGAACTAATAAAAAAACGTATCGAAAATGATCGACTTTATTTGACACCAATGTTTAATTTCGTTCGAACGATAGATGGTCTCAAATTGCATCAAGGTTTCATTGAAATTATTCGCAAGACGTTTCCATGGTATTGGGATGAAATTCTTGGTCTGGCCGATGGTTCCGAAATTCCATTGGAACAACTACTTGTGCTTAATTTCGAAAATGAAACGCAAACGGCTTATCGTCTTTATGAAGCAGAGCAGATGAATCATCAACAAGAAGACGAAGAGAGTGGTGCAAAAGGCTGCAGTACAGTACTTATCAATCGACTTGATACAAATACTCTTTCATTAGTACATAATGAAGACAACACGGCCGGGCTCTATGATACTGGTTATCTCATCGAAGCTGATATCAAATCGAGTCCATATGATAATGGTAGTAGACATAGTCCGAACGAAAGATTTATTGCCTATTGTTATGCTGGTGTCATTCCAGGTAAGATATTCCTTTGTTTTCTCTTGAAGAAAATTATACAAAGGAAAAAATGTCATAATGTGTTACATTATTTTTTCTCATTTTAATTCTTGAATTATTGATGTAAAATAGGCATCTTCATTATCTCTTTCATGTTTCAGGTATTGCATTTGGTGCAAACATGCATGGGTTTGCTTATGCTTTGAATGCTTTGTATCCAAATTTTGTCCGGCAAAATTGTATTCCAAGAGTAATCTTCAATAGAGCTTTACTGTCAATCGTCGATGAGAATCAATTAGATGAACTAATTCATACAGTATCCGTTGCTTATGCGTTTTGTATCAATGGTGCATTCTTTCGTGTGCACAATCAAGATGCATGTCATTTGATCAATTATGAACTAGGGCCGAAATTGAATAGCGAAAAAAATTTCGTTAGCAAGTGTCTCGTTCTAAATAATGAACAATATCGTCAACACCAAGAAATAAATGGTAATATTAAGATTGTGTCTATTAAGAATAACATTATAGGTTATTGGTTTCAGGTACAATATGTGTTGCTTTAAACTATCTTAATCATTTCAATCACTATGAACGATCTGACGGATCAATTGTCGAACGAGAACCACTTCTATGGAGTCGATATCGTGCTCGACGTGCACTTGAAATCGGTGAAATACATACTGTTAAAGATGCACTATATCTATTGGGCGATAGAGTCGATGAAAAGTATCCGATCTTCTTCATAGGTGGAACCACCGAGATCAATTTGGCAACACTTTGCACGGCTCATTTTAACTTTCATACTCGTCAGCTTAGCATCTACCGAAATAATCCAAAAGACAATAGTGAACCACAGTTAATATTTAATCTTGATGATTTATTAAAAAATGAATTCATTACCAACATATGAGCGATTCATCAAACATAAAACGTTGGTTTTTTTTTCTCTTTTTCATAGTGATCCATCAGATCAACTTATGTTATTTCGAATCACTTATGTATTTTTGATGATTATGTCTTATAGTCAGTGTATTTTTTTTCTGGTAATGAGCTATTTCAAGCGATTTTGAATAAAGCAAACGCAAAGAAACTAAGAAAGATGATTTTTATTTAAAGTTGGTGCTCGACATTGGAAAATGCATTTGTCATTAGAGAAGATTGTGGTTGTGAATGTAACTGTGTGTCTATAATCACAAATGAAGTCCACAATTATACGTCTCATTCACACCAACAACTTCACAGCATGAGCCCACTTGACAATCACACAGACCCTTGTCGAGAACTCACAACCCCAGCTTCCTGCAATACTCATTTAGACTGGATCGTAAAAAAATGTACGAACATTGGTCACATCCAAGAGTAAGAATCCCTCTTTTTTACTTTTCCATTTCGACCAGACCTTTATTTTTTTACGGGCGCCCTATTTTTTGTTCGCATAGTTGCTATTCACTCGTATAGCAGCAGGTATTAATACGCTATTATATATATCACAATCAATTCACAAAAACTAATATTGATTAGTTTTTCAAAGTCATAATTCGATCAATTCACGCTTTTGATGTTGATCCAATGATAATTGTGACAAATCAGTACATCAATACCTATCATCGTTGACATTTTACATATAAATTTTATTTGCAGAAAAATCAAAAGCAACACTATTTAAAATATTTACAAGCATATTCAATTGCTTCAAATGTCGAGAAAGACTTTGGAATATTCTGAATCTCTGGGAAAGGATTTTGATGTTGGTGATCCTTGATTACCAAGGTCTGCACAGAAAAGAGAAGGGGGGGAGGAGTAATAGAAATCTTCGACTTAAAACTAACATTCACTATTTTCTTTTCGAAAATATAGGTGAGTTCTACAAAATTAATTGAAAATGTGAAATCATCCTATTCCTAATATGTCCATGAATAGATCCAAGAAAAAGAAGAACATATTGAATTATGCTGTGTCATCACGAGAAATAACAAATGTTTCTTGTTGAACTAAAGTGGTCATAGCTGCTTCACATGCTTCATCGAGATCTGCATGAAAAAGTGGCCGATTGATATCAAGAATAGAAACAAGAATAACATCTGAATTGTTTTCACCACGATCGAGAGTGACATGTACGTTTGCTACAGAAAAAAAAACTGTATGGCATTGATCAGATGAGACGAATCCAGCTGAAATGAGTGCACGTTTCATCCAAGGATTTGATAAGCCAATAAAATGCCAATTAATTTTTTTTTAACTGCATATCGATCTAATTGTGCACGAACATCAACAAGATTTTGCAAACCAATTATATCCAAATGAGTAATACCAGTGAAATGTAAAATTAAAGCATGTAAACGTGGACTTTGATCATCTTTTCGTAGATCTTTTTCTGGATGACGACTGATCTTTAAATTCCATGGTTGTTCACCGAGTGAACCATATAGATTTATTTTTTCTGGTTTAGTTTCACGAAAGATTTGTTCAACCAAACGTTCCATATAATAATAAGCATTTGGATATAGAAAAGTTTCATTTAATCGATAGATAAATATACCATTGCCTGGTGATGTTGGAATAATTATCGGATTCGAACCATCGAAACGGTCAAGTGGTACATAGATATTTCGAGTTGTTATATAAGAATAACTATCAAAATTCAATTTGACTTATTGAATTTGAACTCGGCCAACAAACTCACTACGAGCTTTTGCAATACGAAAATAATTTTATTGGTTGTGGTATTGGCCGTCTATATAATAATATATATATATATATAAATATTATCTAGAACAACATAATTTATTTTGGTATAATATGAATTGTAATCTAGGAATATGTCCTATATTATCAAAAGAAGAAGGTGCTGGCCTATGTCTTCATGCATCAGAACTTTCATGAATATTTGGAACTGAAAGTGATTACAGGTCGATGAATCCAATTAACTGTACCTGGAATAATCAAACACGAATATATTCAAATAAAATTATTCCATATTGGATTAATATGGCTACAAAAGGAGAACCATTGAAACGATGGCAAAAATATGATCTATCAATACCAAAATATTTACAAATTACACCTTACCATGAGTTTTCTGTTGAATCATGGAATAATGATTGCACTATTTTTGATCAAATTGAACAAGATGACCTCTTTGAAATATTTGGTAATAGTAGTTGACATGAATATGAAAATACATGGATTTTGCAGGCTTTGTCACACTGTTCTTAACACTTTCTCGTAATGATTTGGAATAGAAAGACTCAAAAAGTTTTGTAGAATAGAAATTATGTCAATATCATAGATTTGCTCTTGATGTTATACTTTATTATTCATATTGGATTATATTGAACCATCTATATGCTACTTTAGAGTGTTGTTTTATGTACATGAAATTTGTTTTTAGTAGAGTTATTAGTTATTGGGCAGGTTTTGAATGTCGTCTAGTGTGAAAACTTGAGTTAAACAAAAGCAATCAAAGTTTGAAGAGATGTCCTTATACGGATGGTGCTGAGTTGCTGTTTACGATAATTTAGGGCAAGAAATCTTCGCTCATCTAATCGAAAAATCAGAGAAAATATTGGAGTCAGATTGATATCAACACTACAAAGAGGAAATCTTGTCGGCACGACTGAAACAAGTACAAAGATAGCTAACTATACTTGATAAAATTAGTACTTTTTTCAATGTCGTACTCGAAAGTCAGAGAAAGGAGTGGATGACCCAAATTGCTTTCTTTTCAATTGATCAAGTAGGTATTGTTAGGGATTGAAGAAGATCGATTTTATGATCATTTTATCCATAACTAGGACTAAAATGATACTTTCAATGGCAATTGGCTTGTTGCTTTCGATGACATAAATGAGTGATGTCTCCTGCTGTGTTTGAGAGGCCAAGTTCGATGGAATTGCATTAGTTATTCATCTGGCATAAATTTATTGACAGTCCAAAATTAATTAAACGCTACTATTAGTTTCGTTGTAATAGTTCATCTAAATTTTTCTGCTAAGCATTAATTAGTTTTATATAAAAATCAAAAATAATCTAGCAAAATGCACATAAAAATGCCTTAGAATCATAATATGTAATTGAGCATGGGAGAAAATAAGTCTGATGAATATCCTCTGATAGTCAAATATATTTTCATTTAAGGATGTTTTATAAAAGAACAGATAATTTCTTTTTTTTATTGATTTTATTGTTTTTTACGATCTGCATAGCTTTATGTCTGATAATAATCTACTCGCAATTGTATTTTAAGAATAGACAATTCTCAACGACATAGTCCTGATATTTGTCGTGCTTTATAATAAAACATACTCAATTTCTCAATTTATATTGGTTTCTAGTAGTTATTTAAAAAGAAAGAAATTTAAATGTAGCTTTTTCTATTGATAAGTACATAAGCATCGAGCACACTGCAGTATGCTTATAATCGAAGAACGAAAAGAAGTAACGGCTGACATCACGTAATCATTTTTATTCCTGCCATGCCTACATCTTGAATAAATAACAAAGCATCAACTTTGATTTATGAAATGATTGCATACGAACCCTTATAAATAACTTGCATTACACAAGCATATTTCTTGTATTCACTAACTGAAATACAAGTGTTGTACATTGTTCTTGCCAAACAAGCATTATGAGTGGTTTTGATCGTTCAAGCCGAGATATTAGTCTTAATGGAACTATATTGAGAGCTACTTGTAAACAGGCTGATGGTACAACGGATTCGCATGCAACACTCGATCTTAACTCATGCATTGCCAACATTAACGGAAAATTAGTTCCCAGATCTGGTGGAAATTTTGCTGCATCATGCAGTCAAATTCGTTTACATGGCACAATACTTAGTTGTATGGCAAATGGCATTGATGGCAATGAGGTTCCAGCCCAAATCAATCTCTCAAATTTCATCGCGAATATCGATGGAGAACTTGTTCCCAGTGAGTGAAAAATGTTACAAATCTGCAAAAAAATTAACTGAATAGCCTTTTTTATTTATCTGAAACCGGTTAATATTAATTTTGAGTGCACAAACTGAACTAATATCTCTTTTTTTCTTTAATAAATATCAACGAAAATACATTCGAGTCTTTTTTGGGTGTTAAAGCCCTTGTTTTTACATCTATGCACAATGAACAAACGCTGAACTTACATACAAAAAAGAAGGATAAAGAAAAGATTTATATCTACAGCACGTACTTCATGACGAATCCAAGAGAAGCTTTTCTTATTTACATGTGGGATTTCTTCAAAAATATTTGGTTGCCCTTACTTATATGCTTCTTTTATTGATTATGAAATCGATGATTGAGAGAGAAGTTCAAATAAGTGAGAAAAAAAACATAATCCAAGGACGTTGATTTCAAATTCGATCGAATGAATAAAAAATAACATATCTTTTTCGTTACATTATATATATATAACAATCGGTTTCAAATCGTGCTCGAATAACAGTTTCGAAACCAAGGATATTTAAAAATAAGTAATTCATTCGTTTCGTTCAAATTTGTAATAATGCTTGAAACACAATCACAGTGAATTTAATAGTCGAAGAATAGAAACTTCGACTTGATCCTTTCTGAATGAATATTGTGTCTCTGATTCTCAAATCACTAAGCAATTACGAAAAATGAAATAGAATTATTGTACATAGTATGACTAAGACATTTCTATTTGGTGTCTTATTCATCATTATCGTTTGACATGGACTGTGAGGGCATTTGAAAAATCAAGGTACAAAAATATGTACGTAAATCAGACTAATGTAAATATTGATTATAAAGAATTCTCAAATATCTTTTTAAAAAAAATAAATACAGTAGTGTCAAACCTAAAAGTTGAATGCAGTTATTGAATAGTTCAAGTTTAGATATTCAAATATTCAACTATTATATTATTTGGCCCAAACTTGAAACACTTGAATTCTTGTGTATATAGAGACGCGCATGGGTTACGGCTCTTCAGGGAGCGCTTCGCTTCCGCATGTCGCGACGCTAATACGAATCTTTTGATCATAAATTAAACACTGAGCCATAAAACTTGAGCGAAATACTAACAAAAGACAGAGACCCTCATTTATGATGAGCCAATCACTACTTAGATAGAAAAAACTTTAAACAGAGACCGTCGAAGAGTAGATAGACCTGTCGTACCACAAGCATTAAAAACTACAATAGACAATATGTTTCAAAGAATTTTTCTATGACTGAAAAGCCAACAATTTTTTCGCTTGTAACTCGTGACCGTGTTGTGATACAATCAACAGAAACACTGTGAAAAATTTGACTACACTACAGAAAAATAAATAACCATAAGAACAAAGCTGATCTGCTATCAAGACATATTCTTCGATTGTTTCTCGATTTCGACTCGCTACGTGCATGCTGGCTACTCAGACGGATGAGCGAATTTAAAATTCAGTTTGTAATAATGCACACGTGTTTATATCATAAAATGATGAAAATCGAATGTTCTTTCCCTCTCATAATTGTTAATATATCACTTAAAAATGTAATGTCTATGCAATATTAAATTATTCGATATACAAGAGTTGAATGGCACAAGAATAGTTATGGATTTCAGTAGCAAATCTCTTCATCCAATTGCAAAGTTTTACTTGTTCAGTTTTATGAGCAACACATATGAAACTACGCGGTTTCTTGTATGTGTTGACGATACCACGTGCTGAGTTGACTTTAAACATAAAACACAAAAAAAGTCATTTCCATTGACCAGTCATGTTTTACTTTTTCTTTTTTCATTTTGTACATGACGTCAAGAGTGCGTGAACGAGGTGTCATCACTTCAAGTAAGACGGACTCAAAATAATTAGAGAAAACCCGACAATTTTCCAAGTCGACGTTGACCTATAGGAACAATCCAACGATCAAAATGCACAGTCTTCTCAACCAGTGTTGCGACTGTTCATCGACTTGAGATTCATATTTCTAGCACCCCAGAATCAATTTTTGATAACTGTATGGTGATGACCAGAGATGGGCAAGTCAAGTCAAAAATGACTTAAGTCAAAGTCAAGTCAAGTCATTTTTGACTTGCTTGACTTGACTTGAAAAATTTTTTAATGACTTGCGACTTGACTTTGACTTGACTTGAAAGGTTTTATTAATGACTTGCGACTTGACGTGACTTGACTTTGATTTTTCATTTTTTGACTTGGCTTGACTTGTGACTTGACAAAAAAATACAAGTCAAGTCAGATATTCTTTGCAACTTCAATGCATATTAGATTCTCGTCAGGTTATATTTGACCTGTGCGTATAAAATAAGGTCCTAAACAGACTAGACGAATAAACAATGAATTGAGAATTCATTGTTTATTCGTCTAGTCTGTTTGATCTCACAAAAGAAACTATCTGACATCGACACTCGCAAGTATATAAGCAATTATACGGCTGAGTGTGCATCATACGTGATCTATTGTGTTAAACTGGTTAGATCAATTACAACTTGTATTACAACTGAATTGATTTAATGTTTTTTTCAATAAATTAATACATAACTAAATTATGAAATGTAAAAAAAAATTCAAGTCAATGACTTGAGACTTGACTTGACTTGGTTAGAACACAGACTTGACTCGACTTGACTTGCAATGGCGTATCTCAAATTGATGACTTGACTTAAAGATATTTTTTTTTGAGCAATGACTTGACTTGACTTGACTTGACTTGACTCTCTTTGACAAATGACTTGACTTGACTTGAGTGAAAAAATAGCTGACTTGCCCATCTCTGGTGATGACTATCATTTTTCATTGCATTATTTTATATTGATTGTAAAAAGATAAACTGTAAAGTAGAGTATCTAATTATTCAAAAATGACAGAATAAAAACATGTTTACGTTTTATAGTTTTCACACTAAAGTACTTGATACATGTAAGACAATCAAAATTGCTGATAGTGAGCAAAGAGTTTTCTCATAGTTTATTACGGTAAAATATTTTCTTCAGAGAAGCACGTGAATATACTTTGCCATTGTTATAACAGCTTGAAGAGACGCTGGAAGCTATTGTCTGACTAGTTTTCAATTCCTCTTAACCATAGCTTAATGCCTTCGCTGCACGAATGCGATGTTAGATAAACAAAACAAGAATAGGTTCAATTCAAATATATATCCATGCCTCTCATCTTAAGGCATTTTCAATCGGTACATTGAGTTTTCTCCAAACGAAAATCACATGTGCAATGGCGATCATCAAACTACAGATTAGAGAAATTAGGAGCGACATAATCATCTAGTTGACATATCTCAACTAGATTATAACTTTATCATATTACAGCGCCTTAGTCATAAATATTTCGAGAATAAGTAAACAGTAAAGAAAATAATAGAGATTGTTTAATGAAAAAAAGCAATGTTTATCTCATGATTGTGCTCTCAGCCACAGTCTGTGTATGCTAATTTCAAATTATTTTATCAATGCGGAGTTTTAATCATACTCATGTTTCAGAAAATTATCAACAGCGTGACGCAGAGGACAGTGATTGTATTAGTTAAGCTTATATTAACTACTTATGAATATATTTTTAAATATAAAAAAAATCACTATTATAATAAATAAATCCATTCTGTAGATCGAAACTACTCGTTGCTATTGTATTACTTTTTGTGACCTTATTAATTATTAAAGAATATGATACAGCAGTGTGCAGTTCAATATACTTCAGAACGGAAAAGATTTCATCTAACTCACAGCGTATGAGTCATACAAGGTTGTATTGATATTAGTCATTTTTAACAACAACTCGAAACTCAGAGTAATTTGCTTGTGTGTGGGCTCAAACATTTCTTGTTGGAAAACCGAAAAGAAAATTCAAAATGTTTAATATGAATATGATTTGCGTCATTTTCCAAGTTCTATATTGCGTCGTGTGATGAAGGTATTGTTTGGTTTGCAATTTTTTTACCTGGTAAGTTGGAAAGAAGGAAAAAAGCAAGTTGGAAAGACAAACATATAAAACACGTCATAAGATAATTTGATCAAACAGTATAGCCCTGAGTGCATTTATACAAATGTTGTTATTGATCGTCATGACTATTTTCTTCCTTGCGTTTATAGAAATCGTCTATAAAAGTCTTCCTACTTATGCTATATTTAAATCGGAAAGAAACAATTCAACTTGAGCATGAATATTTTTTTATTGAATTTTGTTCGTTTTCAGATCATTTAAAGAAACTTTCGAACAAAGGAAAAAAAGTTGCTGTCATGTCATCTCATGAAATCGTCATTCTATGGTTGGACCCTAACATTGGTGTTCCTGACAGTTATGTTCATCTGAAAGAAGCTTTTTCTACTACTATTGATCCAACATATCCATATCCAATAAGTCTATATGATCGAAATTCTATTACATTTAATTTAAATAAGACTAATTCAAAATCTCAATATCAATTTCAAGGTCCATGTGAATTACAATTCTTTACTGATGAAGAACAATGTTTAGAATCTATAGATAAATGTTTCAATACAAATAAACAAATATTTTTAATTCTACCTGATTATGTTCGAAAAGATTTTTTTCTACGCATTTATAAACAACATCCAAAAGAATTTCAAAAGACTGAAAGTGAAATATCAATAAGATTTTATATATTTATCTTTATGCCTAAAATTGAAGAATGGTTTTTCGATTATGAAGATTATCTTCGAATTTATTATCATGAAGCCGATCTTTTGTATGCACTCACACGAGATATAGCAATATATTTTATGATGATAGGTAAAAACCTATGTAATGAAAATGC